AATAATATATATTCGAGGATTATCGATCTTATTGACAAATACTTTGTTTTTTACTTTCATCTCTGTATTTGATCATAGTATGGTGCAAGAAAACGACGAACAGGTCAAATCTCTTGCCCTACGTTTTTCTATTTAACCTAAATGTTTTGGGGTAAAACCTACTTGAGATGAGCTGCAGCAGGCCACCTGGCCTACGATTTCCGATGACAATACAATTGACGAAAACATGAGAGAGCTATTTTAGTTTAACCGATCGCCTTGCTGCAACAGAAATGTTCGGACGTATTTTGGCCACCCCATACGTCTTGAAGTTTGTATGGGCCAGTTATCCGTACACTTTATCCGTACGTAGGTTGAGTTTAACCTATCATTATCCTAGGTTTAACCTGGCAGATTATGTACGGATAACTGGCCCATACAAACTTCAAGACGTATGGGGTGGCCAAAATACGTCCGAACATTTCTGTTGCAGCAAGGCGATCGGTTAAACTAAAATAGCTCTCTCATGTTTTCGTCAATTGTATTGTCATCGGAAATCGTAGGCCAGGTGGCCTGCTGCAGCTCATCTCAAGTAGGTTTTACCCCAAAACATTTAGGTTAAATAGAAAAACGTAGGGCAAGAGATTTGACCTGTTCGTCGTTTTCTTGCACCATACTATGATCAAATACAGAGATGAAAGTAAAAAACAAAGTATTTGTCAATAAGATCGATAATCCTCGAATATATATTATTCATAATGGATGCAACTGACGAGTTATTCGAATTTGATCAGTACATCCGTCACTTCGGAAATATGGATGCCATTCGTCAGTACCATTGTGAATTCTCAATTACATGAACTATACGTATATCAGTCAAGAGAGAGGATATATTGCTTTCTCAATATGTCGTCTATGATGGAGCGCCTCCAGGACCAGACTGCCTCGGATATCCTCGACCTCCAAACAAACAAAGTCTGAATACGGCGAAGCCGTCATGGAAGTATGATGCCGTTGCGCCTCGAGGACAATGACTACTATCGTGCCGTCATGGCACGCACAAGTGTGTGGTAACTGCGAACACCTCAAAGAGAGCCGCGAACCAACGCAGATACCTACAGCGCCGTGCAGAGCGGTTTGCGACGGAAGCTGCCCGCGCCAACCGTACTTCACGTGGCCTTGCCTCCCATGGCGAGTAGCTGATAAATACATGTGGTTTTTAATCAATTATTTGAAATTTGTAAGCAATAGAGTAGTAATAATAAAATGCATACAAACAACAAGTATAACTTAAATATATCTGAATTATTTTATTATGGAAACTTTGTCCTTGATTCCGATCTACTCAGATATCGCTTACTATCGTATCGAGTCATTTTGGAAATGACTGGGATATTGCTGAATTGCAGACTCATGAGGAAAACTCTCTATTTCTTCAGAAATACCAGAGCAAGTCATCAGTAGCTAAAGCATATTGGATATAAACCAGGCTTTCACATGCTCTTCCGAAATATGTGACGAACTGGTTTGGTGACCTACTGTATTGAAGTTGGAAAGCTACTGACATTTGACATACTTCGAAGTATTAATACTACGTAGTATTAATAGTATTAACCCGCCAGGATGGACGAGTTTCCCAATACTAAGCTTAGTACCAGGTACATACTACGTAGTATTTGACTTGCATTTCTGCGCAACGCAAATTTGGCAGTCCGAAACCGCTTCGAGTCGCCATGGCATAGCAACTCCAGTGTAACCGCCATGAAACTGTAGCGAATAATACTTCGAAGTATGAAAGGTCCAGCCATAATTGACCCCTCTAGTCCCTCTGATAGATAGGAAATATCATGGAGCCATGGTATTTCGGATGTGCAATACCAGTATAGTTTAACGTTACGGTTACATAGCTCAATCTTGCGCTTGCATTGTGAACAATGTGACTGCGCAAGAAGGTTGCCCTTGAACCTGAATGCGTGCATTTGATTGGCTCTATTGGATCTACAATGTCGCGTATCCACAATCGTGATTGGTGGAACCTTTCGAAGTCGCTTTTTTTCGCATACGGAAGAAACGTTCGCACCAATCCGGCACGAGATAGTGCCACGTATCTACGCCCCAATGTTGCACTTCAGTTTTCGATATTTTCTATCATGAACACCAAGCAAACGACCAGTTTGATGACTTGCGCCACCACCCACACCCGCACGTGGCAGTCTGTGACGGCAGGGGTGTTTGCCGGCTGCGTCACGCGCTCGTGCACTTCGCCGCTGGATGTGCTGAAAATCCTCTTTCAAGTGAACGCAATGAAGGGCGGGGGGTCGATCAAAGCCACAGTGGTGCATTTGTACCATACCCGGGGGCCCCTTGGTTTTTGGAAGGGCAATTTCGCCGGCTGTTGTCGCCTCGGACCTTATTCTGGCGTCAAATTCTGTCTGTACGACCAACTGCAAGCTCAGATTGTCCACGACGGCAACCCCACGTCCATGGAGCGGGCAGTGTGTGGTGCCATTGCTGGCATGGTGGCCACGTTGGCAGTGTACCCCATGGAGCTCATTCGCACCCGACTCATCGTGAACATTCACCACACGTCTAGCATCAGTCGCGAAGTCGTGTCGATTGTACAGAACGAAGGGGTGCGGGGGCTGTATAGGGGGTGCTTGTCCGGCCTGGTGGGGTCGATTCCGTTCGAAGGGATCCAGTTTGCCGTTTACGATTACGGAAAGACGTACGCCGTGGACAACCGGTGGCCATCGTGGCGGTGGCCAGACACAAAGACCCACCTGCACACGGTGGACCATTTTGTGCTTGGCAGCTTTGCCGGCGCCGCAGCCCAATTGGTTTCGTATCCATTTGACACGGTCAAGAAACGATTGCAAATGCAAACCACCACAGGCATGAAATACACTGGCATCATCGACTGCTTTGAAAAAGTCGTGCACGAAGAAGGCACGTTGGGGCTCTATCGGGGGTCGGTGCCCAATATGATTCGACTGGTCCCGTATGCGGCGGTCATGTTTGCGTCCTACGAAGCTGCCAAAGATTTCCTCCAATCCTTGTGACCCCCACATTATTGGAGTGTCGAGATTGCCATAATTTATATCCAGCTACTTTTCATACTACACCATTTTGCGTTTATTTTCAGCTTTATTTCAGAATATTTCCACCAACCTCCGATATATTTCACCGAATCGCCAATATAATTCATCCAACCTCCATTATATTTCACGCCGACGTATAATATCGCCGTTATATTTCACGCAATATGCGTTATAATTCACCCAACCACAGGTTAATTTCACGTTTCGAAAATATAATTCACCTAACAATCATTATAATTCGAGCTGGGAATCTAAAGCGCGCGAAGAGTTTTCGCGCGCTTTCACCATTCTTGAACCTGAGCTCGATGGAAGAGACCATCCCTGCACCACAAACTCCGGTACAGCTCTCTCTATAGAACGATCCACCGCTAACATGTCATAGCAGCCACCCCAATGTGATCCCTACAAGCGAGTTCTCCTCTCTGCCAAGAGACGTGTGGTTGCAGCACACGACGTCGGACAAGACTGGAAGACCGTTGCTCGTGCATATGGAATCAACGAGTCCACTGCAAAAGGATGGCTCATGTTAAAGTCGGTGACACTAATGCAACGCGGTAAGCTACATATAATACACAAAACGATCGGATATGGGACTGCCACCGATGGCCAAACTCGTAATGAGTTTCGCATGCAATACTTGGAACACACAGGGGACGAGGCAATTGAAGGTATTCAGTGCATTTGTATCGTACTAGTATTTAACTTAACAATGGAATATGAATTGAGCCGAATCGCTTGCATGTGTACACTGCTCTCTTTGAGCCGTTTTATGTCCGTGCTACGAAGATGCACGACTTGGACGTTGGTGCTTGAGCCGTAGATGTGTTGGTTTTCACTCTCTCGGGCGTAAAGGATTTACTTTTCATGAAATATATAGGTGGTCAGGTGAAATATATTTTCAAAAGGTGAAATTATCCGTTGTTTATTTTAACGTTATAAATAAATATTGACACCATAAGTTCGTCGTGAAACGTCTGGATACACCTTTTCCCGATCAAGTTGCGCAAGGTGTTTTCCAATCAACTTGAAATAAGAAACGTTTCAACCATTGTTTGCAATACCAAACCCGTAGAAAACAGACAAATTTCCAAACAAGTTGAAATTTTCTCATGTTCTCCAACATGAGTGCTTTTTCTACGTTGCGTTGGCAAAGGAGTGATTCACGGATCACCAATGGTAATCCCATGAATATCACAAATGTAGAGCCAGGACAAATATCAGGAAGAAAATTCGCCAAATCGGTGTATTTACATATCCCATGAATATCACAAAGTAGAGCCAGGACAAATATCAGGAAGAAAATACGCCAAATCGGCGTATTTACAAATTGTCAATTTCTGCCATAATTGGGGCCAATCTCCTGAAAACACTGGAAGATTTTTCCTGCGTCGAGACACACGTTTTTTTAATAATTCCATTTTTTTTACATTCAAGGCCGTTTTTCTGTCAGAATATCATGGCACTCATTCAGACAACACCATTAAATGTGCCGAAGCATTTCTGGAAGTTCCACAGTTTAACCACGAGCAAAACGCCAACACATGACATGTTCGGTGACCGCCAGGTCAAAGTCAAATGGCCACGAGTTTACTAACTATTCACAAACTGAATCCCGTCGAGCGGAATGGCGCCCAGGTCCAGACACGCACCCCCCCCCGATACAGCCCACTTGTCCCCTCGATCTGTACAATCCAACACACTTTTATGGTGAATGGACTATGTGGATTTGAACACAATCAGCCGCGTGCTCCGTGGGACAACGACAAATGTCGCGGCCGTGCTTGCCACCACCCCGGACAGCTTTCGTTGCAACGACGACGATGGGTCTGATGAGATTTTAAAACGAGGTCGGTCAAGGATTGATCGAAGATGCTGAGTTTGACGCCCGAGGTGACAACAGCCAGCCGATTGCCCTTTCAAAATGGAATAATTCCCTCATTCAAACAGTCCCACTGTTATTTTGACCCGAAATACTATTTCACAGTCAATGAGGGAATTACTACACCTTTTCGCCAGTACGATGTAGCCCTGTAACCTGGGACTCCGTCGTACCCCCGGTTAGTACATACGATGCTAAATGTCCGGGGTTAGTAAGTGCATCTCAATGGTTAGCGATGCAGTTAACCCCTAGTAAGAGGTGAGGAGGTCTGAGCATACAAATTTCCATATAAACCATTGACACAGTATTTCGGGTCAAAACAACAGTGGAAATGCCTTACTGTTAATGAGGAAATTGTGCTTCAAAATGCCACGAAGGCAGTGGCTACTACGGAACAAGCGTCTGCACGTTTCGGGGCTCGAAGCATGTTGCAGATGGTTCACTTGAAAGGGAATTTTCACGAGGAATCGTGATGCCCGTGACATACTGTAATGTTAGCCCTCGATCACGCCTGCGGTGCCATTGACTGCTTTGTTTGACTGGAAGCGTTGACGATATTGTCATGCTGTGTGAAAAATCGTCGTGAGCTAGCAAAAAATGCTTTACCACGACTAACCGCAACACTGGGCAACATTGAACAGCCATGCCCAGCCATGCGAATAAAGTTGGACGGTCCGAGCGTTTTAAGTACCGCCCGACCACAGTAGCATGCAAGGATCTGCATCTCGACAACAGTGTCACCTTGGTCGCGACAATTCCGAAAAAAAATCGACATAACGTTACATGTAACACGTTGACCATGTAGCCAAACTGTAAGTCTTCGCCGACCAAGTCGATCCCGTCGTGTCGTTACGGGCATATGTTTCCACTGCCACAACGTCCGATCCTTTATCGGAAAATGATCAGACTGGCGAACCCGTGGAGCGATTGCCAACCAGCTCTTTAGAGTAGGACTACATTTGAGGTACCCACCCATCCCTCTGCGACTGGGCTATCTATCTATCCCTTCAAAAATCGCATAAATGTTCACGTGAAGTCGTGCAGCACACCTTTCTTGTCGTTCGTCACTGATCTTATTCGGTCCCATACTATCATCATCGCATCGCATTTGGAGTTTTCGGTTCCATTTTAATGTTCTTGTTGCAAAACATGGCTACCAAGTCGAAAATCAAAAACCACAAACACTGTTCGACTATATAAAATGAAACTACACGCTGCTTGGGCGATTAAAGCTTTCGTGGTACGACACGTTGGTGTACACGATGCGGGTGTAGCTGCTCCCGGGAGGACAAAAGTCAAACTTGACCGCATCCCACGCCTTCGGCCCCTTGGCTTTCGCGGGGGAGTTGAACAAGGGTTTGCCCTTTTGATACGTTTCGTACCCGCCCAAAAACAGCGACATGGAGATCGCAAAGACGGCCCAGACCATTTCCAACTTGCCCACCTTCTTGCCAAAGTGCTTGAGGTAAAACACCATGGGCAGAACCATACAGCACATAGCGATACACGACGCGCCCGTGAAATCCACCAACACCAACAGTCGGTCCTTCCACAAACACGCGACGGCCACGGTGCCAGAAACTACGACGGTCCGAAGCGCCGCGACCTTGGGGTACACACCTGGCTGGCGGTACGTCTTGGAGTCGAGGTCGTGCTCGTCCGAGTCATGTTTGTTGAGCGAGTTCTCGATGGTCTTGTCTTCGGCGTTGGGGGTGTCGTTCGCTTGAAAGTCGCCGCCCTCGATCTCCTGGATCGCATCCAAATGACGGTGCAGCCCCAGCAACAGTCGCTCCAGAATGTAAAACGCAGGGTTGATGATGATGCCAAACGCAATCGTCACGTGCAATTGCATAAACAAGTTGGCCAAGATCACGCCCCCGCGGTTGGCGGTAAACCCTAGCTCGGTCGGGGTCCCGGCGATCGAAAACAGCAAGTTGCCTGGGATCTGGCACCCCACAACCGACACCCCCGAGATGGCCACGGCCATAAACAGCACCGAAATCATTCCCAACGTGAAGAAGATCACACGGGGCATGCGCTCGGGCTGCGAGTGTTCACGCTGCAGTGACGGAATGACAATCCCCGCGCCATACGCCAACGCCAAACTACCAAACACCGACGCGATTTGATCGAAGTTCACGTCGGGCGACGGGGTGCTCACGCCCGCTGGGATGGGGCTCATGTTGTCCACCAACAGGTACAACGCGACGAAGTCGGCGATGACGGTGCCGATGGCCCCCGCCGCCGCGGCGAACGCGCCTTCTTTCAGCGTCGGGATCAAACACACGGGCAGCAGCGACAGGCCCATGAGGATGATCCATGTCTCTCCCTCGTACGAATTCGGAAACATGTAGGTGCAGATGATGCCACCCAGCACCAAAAACGCAATTGGCACCAGGATGCACGTCAACATGTGCGTGATGAGCACCAACCAGCGACCCACGGGACCGAGGCAGAACTCACCCAAGTCGCTGTACGTGCGCACGCTCTTGGGGGCCACCAGGAGCACCTTGGAGATGCACAACGTGCCGTAAATGTTGACGGCCGCCATAAACACGAGCGCGGCCGTGGCCCATCCGTACCCGACCTTGGCGTAGTTTCCCGGCATGCTCAGGGTTCCAATACCATACACGCAGCAAAAGAGCGAGAACGACAGCTTCAAGTCTTCCACGGTCAAGAATGACTGGCTCATGGTCGTGGCGTGGCAAAATTGACAATGATACTGTAAGTGAGATCCTCTCAACGACTTTGTTCTGAACAGGCGCGGGGTAGGGTAATGTGTTTCGGAACAACAACTGTTGAGACATTGTGAGGCATGTGGTTTGACATGCGGAACTGCGCCATTTCGACAAGTTCAAAGGTTTACGTGAGTTTGTGTGCAGTAGTACTACAGTTGCGGCCACTGCACGCTGGATTCCCCTAACCATGCACTACCCCGTACAAGTGTGCATCCAACCGTGGGTTGAGACTCAAACACGAATATGAGCCACCACCCCCAACTGCGGATATGGAGCACTTGTTGGCATTGCTGTGTGAATGATTGGTACGGAATGTTAACAACATACAGTACACACACTTGTCCGAATGCTTGGTAAGTACTACGTAGTATTTATAGTATGTACTGTTACTCAAATATAAAGACCAATACTAACCTAAGAGTAATCTTCTGAGAGCAGCTCCACTGTTGCTTACGTATTCATTGCACTTGTTCGTATTATTACTATATAGTACTAGTACTACGTAGCACTAGTATACTGTATCGTAGGTATATGCAAAGTCGGTAAACCAATCGGGTTGCAGTATACTAGTACGCAGGCGTACTAGTGTACTGCAGGTACAGGGGAAGTAAATTTCAGTGGTTATCGATAGCTAATCACTTACTGTTAACTGTACATGAACTTAAGGTAACCCAGCTAACCACTGGTGATGCAGCTTAACCCCGGGAATAGCAACACAACGGGTCCAGGGGTTCCGAGGTTACAGTACAGGGCTACAGGTTCTTTTCAAGTGAAATGACTTTCAAGAGTAACAGTGGAGCTGCTAGGGAATTATTCCGAATGTAAAAGGCACCTTTATCCTTATGACAATGGCAAATATTTTGTGTATGAGAACCAAAATATTTGCCATTGTCATAAGGATAAGACAATGGCAAATATTTTGGTTCTCAGACGACTGACATATGTGAATGCATGTTTTCTATCATCGGAATCAAAGTATCATTCAAAATAATACTTCGAAGTATTTTGGTTCGATGATATAGATCGCATACTAGAACTAACAGTAAGTATTCACGTGACTTGAAGATTTGATATTATGACAGGAATGAATGTGCAGATACAACTACATTCATAAGGGTGACAAGTACTATCCTGACATGCTGAGGTTACGCCAGTTGGTTGTCCATATGTGTACCACGTGAAAGTTCACTGTGACACAAGCCTCCAGAGCAAGCATGCACTCGTTCGGCATGTCTGAGAACTTGCATACGATTTGATCAGCATAAAGGATCAAGCGGTATACGGATATGTATTCTA